TGTATATGTATGTGTATATATATACATATATATGCACATTCAAAGTATTTTTCTATACCTCACTTTGTTTTCTTTCAGTAATTTTCACCTTGATTATGATAATATCCATATAAACTTCATTACAAGTTTACTCGTTTATAATTCAGTGAAGTTTTTACTTCGTCCCTAAAATGTATTCATTGTTAAACTTGGCAGGAAATAAAAGCTAATGCAAGTGCTCATGTGTGTACCCGCAGGCACACACACACATACACGCACACACAAATGTCCCACTGCCCACAAAGTAAAATAAAGTACTTTGGAATACCCCTAGCAAAATATGAGAATAGCAAGATAAGGCAAAGTAATAAATATAAAGCAAAACTAACAATTCCCATTTTCTAACTTAAAAATCGAAACTTTCCTGCTAAATTAAAAAGGGTTTAGTATAAATTTGCATGAAGTTGGCATTTCACTTCAAGATAAGTGCCAGTGAACTATATGGTGGGTATGAAGTGTCTCTGTGTTAAAAAGTTAGAAGTGACTTCAACACTCAGTCCACTCACCCCTTTTTTTTCACTACATAAGAAAATAAACACAAAAATGCAATTATGGAAGAACAAAAAGAAAATTAACTTTAGATTTGAATATAGACCTGGGTTGGAATTTTAATTCCAATTAATGTTACTCAACCATGCCTCAGATTCATCAGTAAAAGCAGCAATAACTCCTGTGCAGGGTGGTTAAAACGATGATATGTGAATATTAAATGAGGCGATACATGGGACATTCCTGGTCCAAATGAGCAGTTGTGGAGCTTACTTTCTCCATGTAAACTCTGAGATGGGCACAGATAATAGAGAAAAACTAGAGAAGAAAAGGTCGACCTATCAATTAATGTTTGACCTTACTTTTGTAATTCCAAATTCCAACTCTGTTGGTCCCAGTAATAAGACTAAGTACATTTTTTCCCCATGTATATAGTTCTCTAGCTCTAGTTGCTCCATGCATTTCCAGTTTTCTAACTGGAAAGGAAAGGAGGAAGAAGGAAAGAGGGAGGGAAGGAATTAATATCTCTTTATTTCCTGTGAGTAGTTGCCACTACACTTGAAGAAATGGGAAATCAACAAAAGAATAAAATATAAATATTGCTGATCCAAGCATCTGCAGCCCATTAACAGCCTCTGCCATGGCAATATCTATTCTTTTTCTACTTGAGCTCTCTCACTCCAGCTTTTGTTCTCTCCCACATTCAGTCTGTTTCTCATCCTCTTCTGGATAATTACAGTAAAAACAAAATTATCACCCAGCAAAGGATGTGTCAATATGTGTGCAAAGTTGATCATGGAAAATAAATAAGACATAAAATAAAAATAAAAATAAAAAATACATCCCAAACAGGTCTTTTTATTTAACATAAGGCCAAAGAAGCTATCAGGCGTTGCTGAATACTGTCCACTAACTGTACAAAATATTGACTGCATGCCTCGCAAACACCAAAATATCCGCTGGAATGCCATAGAAATAAATAACTTCTGCTATAAACACATGAAAACATATCAAACTGTTATCTCTTTAAACATATTGTAAATAAAAAAATTACCAGTACTTCTACACAATAAATATTAAGAAACCATTGACATAGTTGAAATGCACTCATATAAATTAACAACTTTAATTACATTAGCCAAACAGACATTGGTTAAAGAACTGCATGTAGTATGCAAAAAAAACAAAACAAAACAAAAAAACAGAGTAAAAATCCAACAAAATAAAAACAAACAAACAAACAACATCAACCACAGAACATAAAAAGTTTTAAAATAAAACGGGCTTCAGATTATCTTGGCTTTCATAATTATATTTTTCTTTTAAAGAAAAATATCAACCCATTGTCAATGCACTGTTTTTCAAAGCATTTAAATAGAGGGTAAAACCCATTGGAAATTAATACAGAAGAAATGATTCACTTTATGCATAAAAAATAAATAATAATATAGCTGAGACATGTGGTTTGCTTCTGCTCTTGAAGATGTGAACAGCTTCTAAGCATTCGTTTTCTCTGACCCATACAACAGCTTCTCAGTGATACAGGGTTTAATTTAAACACATACGATGTCCACCCCCAAGCCTTCTGCCCACATCTACAAGTTTTATTTATTTTGTGGGTTTTCAGGGTGACTAAGTTTTTCTCTACCTTGAAAAGAGAAGTTGCCAAAAGGTGCACAGGAAATCATTTTTTTAAGTGAATATGATAATATAGGTCCATGCTTAATACAACTGAGACATATTTGTTCTCTGTTTTTTAGAGTCACCTCTTAAAAGTCCAATCCCACAATGGTGAAAAAATAAATAAATAAAAAGCATTTGTTCTACCTTTAAGGAGACTGCAGGGATTCTCCTTGAAAATGGAGTATGGAATCAATCTTAAATAAATATGAAATTGGTTGGTCTTCTGGGATAAGAAATTCCCAACTCAGTGTGCTGAAATTCACCTGACTTTTTTGGAAAAATAAAAATAGAAAATGTCAATTTGGTCCATAAAATACATATTACTATTAAAAGATATTTGAAGACAAATCCTTTTCAGAGCTTCTAAGATTGGTGTGGGCAGATTTTTAAGAGCCTAGAGTTTAGCCTTAGAGAAAGAGCGAGGAGATAGTAAGCTAAGATAGAGCCACCCTGGTTTCAAAAAAAAAAACATACTACTAAGAATCCCATATGTTAGAATTTAAAGCCTTTACTTTTGGCCTCATGCTGCTAGGTGAAAGGGTGATTGTTCACAGGGCTTGTATTTTCCAAGATTATTAAAGATGGTAAAATACTATCTTTCAATGTTATCAAAAAATGGTAGCAATTTATACTTCTATTTCAAAGCCATATAAATTTAACAAAATTAAAGTTTGTGGGTGTTTGATAACCCAATCATTCAATATCCAATTAAAATATGGAATAAGTTTCAAATAAAATATGGAATTACATTTCTCTGCTTCTGATAACTGTGGTCACTAATCAACCCCTATGTTATCCCCGATATGTCTAGGACTTAGCTTAAAAAGGTAGCAGATGTATTTGAGATGAATGGGAACTATACATGGGTATCAGCTTTCTTTGCAAATTTCTGCTTTTTCCATATCCTTGACCATCTCTGCTACTGCGCAGTGAACCAGGACTTAATTTCTCACACTGTTTCTGCAGGTACCAGTACCAAAGAAGATGCAGTTCAAAATACTGCCAGTTTTCCATGAAATTTTGTAAAGTTGAACATGGCCATCTACTCTTGCCTTAACACTTCTCTCACCACACCCACCTTCCCACATGCATGATATCCAAGGTCAATAGACCTTGATTAGAATCCACTCTCAAGCTTCTCATGCAGTGCTTATTGTATTTTCTGCATAAGAAAGGGCGGCCTCTAGAACACAGTAAGTGTATTTGCCCTGTAGTGACATTGCCTACATATAGCCAAGTGTTACAGTATACCAACTGAGTATATTTTTCAAGGAGAGCTAAACCATCTTTTGTAATCTTTGGTTTCTCACTGATATCTTCCTTTCCTATAATTAATTTATTTTAATCTACAAATTGACATAGGGCTAAAAGCTTCAATATTTTACAAAATATTAATTAATGTAATTGTTCCCAATTATTAGAAACTTTTTTCCTTTTTTCAAAATATTTGCCAACTTCACACAAGTCTGTAAAAATAAGGCTCTGTATTTTCAAAAGCACATACATGAATAATTTATTAGCTATTCTAGGCAAGCTAAATACTAGAATAAACTAGATAAAAACTTGGCTTTAAGCATGTACTTTGATATTTATAAAATAAAGGTTTTTTTTTTTTTTCCTCTCTGCATCTGAATCGATACAAATTTACACATGAAGAGTTTTGGCTATAAATTAAAAATTTAGAGATTTTTTACTACTGCCCTCATCTCTGCCTCTTCTTAACTGTTCTCTTCCTTACTCTCCCTCTCTTAACACCTTCTCCTAAATTAATTATCTTTTAGTTAGTGGCGACATTATTTTTCCCAGCTGGTACAGGTAATATTTCTCACAACCAAGCCTTAATCATTTTTTAAAAATACACTTAACTCTAATTCTGACCTAAATATTATATTTTTCTGAAAAAGCTTCTGATTTAAGATTGATTCCAGTAGACACTAAGTTGGAAAAACTTCCGCCCAGAGTTTTGATTATCATCCTGTTTTCCCCATAGGGGAAAACTTGTAGAAGTGGGAGGGGGCACAAAAAAGAGGAGGAAATTTGATCCCTGTACAACAAAAGAGGGCCTTGCTGAATATTCACTGGAATTTTCAGGCTTTTTCCCATCCGAATTTTTGAAATGTGCCCACCTAGTTCAGAGTAAAAGCAAAAACTATAGCCTATCCTTCTTAAAAATACTGTGTTTTGCACACAAACATTCATTGCTTTAAGAACATTAAAAAATGACAGCCTGAAGTGCTTAAAATGTGTATGGACATGGTACAATACATGTATATATACATACAGATATGCATATGCACAAGCAATGTATATATACACATACAAGCATGTAGTTCCATGAATTTGATTGAACTTGATATCCAACAGTGTACAACTACTGTACATCCAGTATGAAATGTCCTGTTTCATGGATGTAAAAGGAGTCAAAAACCAAACTTCTCAGGTCTTTTAAGCCTGAACACAATCCACACTACTCAACCTTGAATCCCAACCCCTGACTCATTGATGGTGAATGATACCAACCACAGACAGACTGTTTAAAGGCTCACACAAATGTCTTTGGTGTATGTGTCTATTTTTTAAGGTACAAAATAATAATAATAATTATAATTATAATAATAAAAATAGCTATTTTGTGTGCTGTAGCAGTTCTTTTATAGCTCACATTAAGTGCAGCTCTTAAACCCCACCCCCACCCCCACTCAAAGAAAATACTTGTTAAATAAGGATTAGACAGGTCAAACACCATTGTAGTGCAAATAGTAAACGATTAAAAAAAAACAACAACAACATTTACAAAATATAGAAATGTTTGGATCCAACAGATGGACAAACATATTCCTTTCAAGTATCTCTCCTTGAAGAAAATAAAAATTAATCAGATTACTTCCAATACAAAAAAGTCTCTCTTTTTGTTCTCTCTCAGGTAAACAGTTTCAAACCTATTAGGTTGCATAGTTCTAAGATCATAAGCACCTTAACGAAATGTAACTTGGTATTCTTTTTTCCTTGATCTTTCATTCTTTCCATACTTGTTCTCAATTTTTTAATGTTGTTTGTTTTGTTTTGTTTTGTTGCAAAAGTGGTACAGAAAAAGGAAGTGTGACCACCTGCACACGATTGTTCTTTTACCAGTATGTGTATATATGTAATGTGTGGGAATGCCTGTGTGTGTGTGTGTGTGTGTGTGTGTGTGTGTGTGTGTATGCTGATATACACAGAGATAAGTGTCACACAGACATACCTTATGACCTGGGTAATTGGGTAGGAAAGTGCCTGTGATGGGCCCTTTCAAACTCATGGCTTTCTAGATGCTATTTGGGTTGCTCTAGTCCACACTACTGCAGACTAGATTAGTTGACTCAAGGCTCACAAGGGAACCACAAGGGGGGAAAGGACAATACCCCATTTAAACAACTGATGTCATCAGTGTGATTTCAGAAGAAATAAAGGGTACTCCATTCTCCCTTTGCCTCTCAATTCCTGTCTCTTTCACTGCTTCATCTCTGAGCCCTGGCTAAGGATTTTTTTCCACATCTTCCTTCATCTGTTTCATCAGGTTTTGTTTTTAATTTACTTTTGTTTTTTTGTTTTTTTGTTTTTTTAATTTATATTTATCTGGTAACTCAGAAACCTTAAAAATTTCTTCATTTTGCCACTGTCTTCTCTGGACAACTCTTGCTCCCTTTCCCCCTGGACTGGGCAACTCTATGAGCACCCACACTCCTCCACGATCATGTTCTGAATGTCCTTTTTGATGATGTTTTGACCATCATCATAGTACAACATGGACATGGGTCTCAGCTTGGTGGGCACACAGCATGATTTGAGGTTGGCAAAGGGGCTGTGGCCCCGCATGCGGTAGTGGTTGATGACTGTTGAGTGGAAGGACAGTGAGGACCCGGATGTGCCTGCTATATGGCTCGGGCACTCACCCTCGCAGTAGTTGGCATGATAGCCAGAGGGAGCAATGATCCAGTCATTCCAGCCGATGTCCTTGAAACTAACAAAGAACTGTTTCTTACAGCAGATGTTGACCTTGCCATCACACTCCAAGCCCCGCCGACGCCGGCGATGAGGGTGGTCTTCAGACTGCCGGGCCTGCAGCATGAGGAAAGGTCTGTGCGACTGCTCCTTCTCCTCATCTGCTCCTGCCCCACCTTCACCTCCACCCTTCTTTTTCCCATCCCCCTCCTCTTCTTTCTTCTTCTTCTTGCCCAGGAGCACCAGGCTGGCGCCACTCTCCTGGCACTGCTCACAGGCAATCCGAACGTCCAGGGAGCTTTTTCCCTGATCCAGCAACCGCTGGATGCTGCTGGAGACAGGGAAGACATGCCAGGTGCTCTTCCGAGCGTCTACCACTTTTTCAGAGAGCAACAGTTCACTCCTCTCCCCCTTTAAGCCCACTTCCTCGGCCTCTTCCCCTGTGTCCAAGCTGCCCTGCGGGTGCTTCTGCTGCTGGAAGAGGCGGATGGTGACTTTGGTCCTGGTCCTGTTGGCCTTGGGGACTTTTAGAAAGAGCCAGACTTCTGCACGCTCCACCACTGACAGGTCACTGCCTTCCTTGGAAATCTCGAAGTGCAGCGTCTTCCTGGTTGTTCCTGAAGACAAAAGACAGCATAAGAGAAAACAGTGACACCTGTTAATTCCAACATTTACATGCACTCACAAATTTCAGGCAAGCAAGAGTCTTCTGTGATAGATCCTCTCCAACAGGGGTCAGCGAACGACGGCCCATGGGCCGAAACTCTTTCTGTACTGCCTGCAAACTAAGAATGGTTTTTATACTTGTAAGTGGTTAAAGAAAAGTGGTATTTTGTGACATGTGAAAATTGTCTGAAATTTAAACGTTAGTGCCTGTAAATAAAGTTTTGTTGGAGCATGGTTATGCTCATTTCTGTACATGCTGCCTACAGCTGTTTTTGCACTAGAATAACCCAGAGCTGAGTAGCTACAACAGACTCTCTGGCTCACAAAGCGTAAATCATTTTCTCTCTGGCCCTTTATAGAAAAAAGGTTTTGGACCCTTGCTTTAGAATGAAGAGGGCCTGTGATTCTGTGTCTGTTGACTAATTGCTTAACCTCAGTTTCATCTTCTATAAAATAGGAATGACATAAGGATATGTGACCTGTTATCTCACAGGTTTAGGAAGATGAACTGAGATAACATAAACGAAAAGACACTGTAAGCTCTAGAGAGCTAAGGAAATATTATTCTCAGACAAAAATGCAGCCCCTGGCCTCGCCTCACTATGTAGGTCTGTGCAGTCGGGACACACTGAGTCAGCTTCCTCTTCCCCTGTCACAGCCTGATTCCTCCCCCATCACCTCTTTGCTGGGTCACTGCAGCAGCATGTTCTTTACTTTGCCTCTGCAACACTAAGGCGGGCCTCCTCTCCAGTCATTTCTCCATGAAGCAGCCAAAGGCATCTTTCTCACAGGTGGATCTGATCACATCACTTCTTGAAAGTCCTTTACTGAATTCCTATTGCTCTCAGTATCCAACAGAAAGTGCCTGGGACTTTGGGCTCTGTACATGCTGTTCCTTCCTTGAATGCCAGCTCTTGCCCAGTCCTGGTCTCTGGGGTGTAAGGCCTTGAGAATTCCACCCCCTGTCTCACCCGCAGGCAGTGACACCTGCTGTTCCTTCTGCCTCAAGTGCTCCTGCCCCAACTCCAACACATCACCCTTAGTGCTGCCTTTAATAATGTTTCAATTTTCAGATTGTTTGGACAACACTTCCTCTAGGAGGCTTCCTTCACATCACTTCCACCGCCACCCTCCTGCTAGCCTGGTTTAGAATGCCCAGGGTCTAAGGTCACTATCATAGTCTAATGTTCAGCAGAAAGTAGGCAATGACTTGATTACTTATTAACAAATGGAGGCGTCCTTAGCATTGAGTTCTATTAAATTAAGAGAGCCACCTTGTACCTCTGAATCCCCGATGTTTGCCTCTGACCCATTAGAGTGCAGCCTAATGGGCACCAGAAACATATGTCAAATAGCAATCGCTGCTAATGGACAGGAAATCCCCACATTGTTAGGGCAGTTGAATTTAGCAACCACTCAGTTCTAGCCTAACTCTAAAATTAGAAAGTCACCTATTTCCTTCTCTTTTCGTAAGCACCTGTATGTTTAATGACGCAGCAACAATTACTATGAAAGCAGGTATCCAAACTAAAATTTTTTGATTAATCAAATATGTTCCCTCACTTCCTTTTTTCCCCCTTTGTGGCATATGGAAACATACCCTCTTTTCCCTGACCATGGACCTCCTTATAACTGTCCGCTGTACACGTATCCCATGCACAAATCTGTGAACAATCTTCAAGAAGTTCATCTTAGAACTCACAACTCCCTGGGAGGATCTCCCTGCCTGAATTTCTATAGTTAACGGAAATCCAGCCATACTTATCACTCGAGGCCCTGAGATGTTTACGGTACTATAAATTTTAGGCACAGTTTCAAGTTCTCTGCAGCAGAAGGCAGGCTTTTCTGTGCATTGCGTACTGTAGATTCTGTTCTTAATTTAACACACTCTGCACACTGTGATTATGATAGTGGTAAATTCACTGAGGCAAGGGCCAAGCAGGGCTGCAGATGGATATGAAAGGTTCTCTGGCATCTTTCTATAAACTTACGAGGATGCTGGCCATGATGATGGTGGTGGTGGTGGTAAGGGGAGTTCCTCTGACTCCGACCTCATGTCTTTGGCAGGAGTTGAAATGAATAATAAAGCTGGGTTTATGATTAGATAGAATACCAGAGCAGAGAGCAGTTAGAGGGAGAAGCTGTCTTATTTTAGGAAGCATGATGACTTATTTTTTCAAAATCTGAATTCTATATTCCCCTTTGCTAAGAATTGGTGGGGGTTTGTTGTTGTTGTTTGTTTCTTAACAAAGTAAAGAGAAGAAGATTCCCAGAAGCAGAGCTTAATCATTTACATCTAAAAAGGCAATCAGCAGTTGATTTTAGGGTGGCAGCGTCCTGCCAAGGCCTTAGGAGAAGACCGAGGGAAACCTCCCAAGCCTCGGATAACTGGCCTGGAGGGTGTGCAGGTTACCTCCAGCATGGGCACATCTGCCTTGCCCCATGGAGAATGTTAACAAGCTACCTGCTGTTTTCCCTTCTGCTTCTATGCGGGACAGCTTCTGAAATCCTAAACTGCACAGGGTGTCACTCCAAAAACAGAGAGATAGTAGCTGCTAAATTAGAGAACCCAGAGGGCACAAGGTTGGGTTTTGTTTTTCCAGGAAAGAGCGTGAAACTGGAGCATCTGACTAGTGCCCCACATAGGGAGGCTCACTGGGTTTTGGGTAACTCATCCCCATGGGATCTACTCTGCTCTCATCCACACCTGCCAGAAGGGGTCAGGGTGAAGGCCGATGGACAGCAGTGCTGACCCGCATGAAGTGGACTTTCCATGAATAACATCCAGATGTTTGGGTGGGGGTGCCGAGGGAGGGTTAGTTGGCTGACTAGAATTAGGGACAGCCGCGTGCAAATTGCTTTTGTAGGGTTAGAGAGGCTGAGGCTGCTGGCTTCTAGTCACACAGCCTACAGGACAGCCCCTCATTTCACAAGAGCAGGTTTCTGATGCATGATCTAGCCCCACCCCTTCTTCACAGGCAGCTGTACTTGGAAGCAAATGATTTAGTGCTCCTGAGAGAGGATTGTACAAAGAGAGTACTCATTAGAGGGGGCTCAATCTGTCAGGTGCTGTTATATTAGGATCAGAGAGTCATCATAAAATGACTTTCATGCTGGTCTTGGCTGATAATTAACTGCATGGCATCGCCTGCGTATTATGGAGAGGCACGGGCGCTGATTTATGCATCCGTTTAATTATCTGAATTGAAAGACTCTGTTCCCTGTATTTGCATCCACTGCCTGCGTGCTTTCTCTCTCCCCCATATTTCTGACATTTGGATTTTCCCCCTACTAATTGACATGCCTGTCGCCTCCTTCTCCTGGTGTCCATTTCTGGAACTGCTATTTGTATATTGCATGATATTTTATCACGAAAAAAAATAAAACAGATCTAATTTCATGAAAATGCTGTTGCCATAATGCTCAGGAGAACAGGGGGAAGAGAGAGATTCAAGTCTTCCTAATGTCTACCTTATATGCAGGTACATTTTACAAGTTCTATTGTATTCTGACTTATTAAGCAGTGCATATTTCTTTCTTTTACATTAGCTTTCATTGCAGAAGGGGGTGGGGAGATGAGACTGCTGGAAACTGACGTGGGATTGATGTTTATCAGGGCTGCAGGCTTCAGAAATATATTACAGCCTCGGAATGTCCTAGGTATGAAAAATATAATAAATCATAGGTCAATTTATTATATTCCCTTTATCTTTATATTACCTGAGAGAGATGGCTATACTGCAGTGACACTTTCAAGATGCCCCAATCCTCCAATCTCCTTGCATAACAATTTGGAAAAGGGAAGGTTGACTAAGGCTGGGATGTTCAGGATCAATTTCTAATCAGTTTTAGTTTTCACTTAAATATCTCATGCTGTAAAATCTTGAAATGAAAGCCTTCCCATAATGCGCCATGAGCAGGTTCTGCCTTAGTTTGTACAGGTGCGACCTAGGTTCCTGCACTATTACCTAGCTAGCCAGATATAGCTGGTCGCTTTGCTAACCTTTCATTACCTACTCTCTGATAATATTCTTTTCATCCTCTGTGCTATTTTTTCCCTCCCGAGGCTTGTGAGCAAGGCTGTATCACAGCCTGCTCTGCCTGAGTAATTCACTAAGAAAGTCCCACGCAAACCCATGTGGGTGATAATATTTCATCACTTAAACCTCTATGAGCTCGGTGGACACATACTAAAGAGAGAGAAAAAGAGGTACAGAAAAATAGGCAAAGAGAAAATTTGTACCTTACAGGGAATACCTCTGAAATGCTGCCGGGTGGGAAGGATTGGACAGAGGAGAGACTGTGTAAGCTGGAAGGAAAGATACCTGGAAGGGTGTTTGCAGCACATTTTCCTTTGCTTTCAAAATGTTTTGAATAAGTCAATCATGAAGGCATGCCAAGGCTTAAGCAGCTAAGCCCCTTGTTGTTCCTTCCCCCTACACTAAGATGCAAAATGATGGACTCATCCAAAAGTCCAGCATCTCAGATTTGTGGGTGTATGAACATTTTCAGTTAAATAAGCAACACACACATGCAGTGTTTCGATTTGGTTTTGTTTTCCTCACCAGGGTCCTGCCTGAAATATGTTGCTCTTTTACATATGGGCAATAATTATGTCTCTAATGTGAATGTGGAAAGCCTCGTTGTTTACAGAACATATTTAAACTTACCATGGGGTGGGGGTTGGGGGAAGCCTCCCTGTAAAAAGCGTCTGTTCCTTTAATTTTCCATTCTTCATCAAGATTTCACTGTGCCTAGATATGGTATAGTCAACAGTAAGGGTATACACAACTACCATTTACAGGGTGCGTTCTCTGAAGCTCTAACTTTGCATTTGGACTGCTTCCAGGGGTTTCCGCAGAAAGCAGCAAGTGAGGTCTTAAGGTTATTCCTCCTTTGACCTACAGTAGAGGATCTTTCCTGCAGTAGAACTATAGGTTTGGCCATAAATTATCTTGATTAATTTTTTAGCTTTAATGTCCCTCCTTAGGGTCCGTTATTGATTTATAAATGCCCAGCCACAAACATCCATCATCCATGCCTCTTCCATTAAAATGGTGATGAAAAAGGTTAAATATTTCAGGAGAAAGGGGTTTTAGATTCCTACAAGTAGCAAAAATTCTTAAGGTTCAACCCACAAAATTTCAGAGACTTCTTCCAAAGTTCCTGAGAACTTTGGCACTTTTGATTTTGGACCTAGGAACCAGTCGAGTACGAAGAATTCTGAACTACAGCTAGGAGATCATGTGCAAGTATTTTTTAGCAGAAGAGGGGCCAAGACAAATATGTGTTTTCAAGAAAAGTGCCTGGGAAGGTATTACTGCAGTTCTTTAAATATTACAACAGACTTTCCACCCTGGCATCTCCGCCACCCCCAGCCCAGTCCATCCACTGCACAGGCCACAGACCACTATTAATCTCTTTCCCCATCTTTCCCCACCATTTCTCTCCACACTCTCAGTTCGGAAACAAACGCATCCTCTGAAGCTGAACACCATGTTCCCACAAGGCATTAAAGAAAGAACCTTTTTCCTCCCTGTTTGAAGTCACTTGTCATTTGTCGCTGGTGGAAACTGTTGATAAGGCAGGAAAACTAGGCAACAAAATCAGGGGAGACGGAAGATGTTTTTGTTACGATCCGGGAGACCGTATTAGGGAGAGACTTGTGAGCAAATCAGTATCGCTGATGATTCATGGTCACATTTCTCCCTGCTCTGCTTTGTTTGCTTTTGAAATTTATCACTCGTCTGCCTTCCATAGAGCTCCGGAATGTTCACATGTATCACTAGAATTTCCATTTCCTTTCCTTCCGTCTCATTTAATGTATTACAGGTAGTCATGCTTCTCCCATCTCATAAATTCCTAACTCTTTCTGCAGGGTGAGAGGGAGCAGGAGGTAACTGATAATCACCAAGATCACTGGGCGCTACAGACGGGGTGCTTCCAGTAGGCGCAACTGCCTTTCCCTGGATAAACTGACAAGGAGCAAAAGTCTTTGGAACGCGCCCTCTTGTGGCCACTCTTCCCCATTATTCACAGAAGAGAACGTGTAACCCCTAACGGCGTCCCTAAGGGATGGGTGATTCACAGAAAAGTTCGGACGATGGGCATGGAATGGTGGGAGTCAGCTTCATTTTGAGATGGCTTTCTTGGGGTGGGGAAAATGGTCATCCAAGCAAGGCTTCTTGGATCCCTGTCTGGGCGGTGTAAACTTCGAACTCAAATCTTCCATACATAGTATCCTCCAAGGGTGTTGAACTAAGGTGTTGCACTCAACAACACCTAGGCTACGTGAGCACATCCATTTCTTGGTGTTTCGTTTGTCTTTCTTTTCCTGTTCTTTCTACAACAGGTGCTATCAATTGCTAAGCTAATTACCAGAACCTATATCCAGGTTTGAAAGCATATGGAGACTCAGAGGTACATTATTACTATGCATTGATTGACCAGCTACTGTCATGAGTCAAAATAAAGTAAAAATAAGCTGTATCAGCCAAAAAGGCCACTGAATTTAGCTTCATTGGCATTTATAGCGATAGCTTGGCTTTACCCATCCCTTCTGTCTTTCCTTGTGAGGAACTCTGTAGGCCTTAAGGTAAACATTGGGGGTTTTGTGCCAGCCATGCACAGAACACACTAACCTTGGTGAGAAATCTTGGGTGATGTGACATACATAAAAATAAAATCATTTTTGTTGGTTGGGACACATTTCAGAGAGCCTTAGAGTGATTCCCTGCTGTTTAGTCAATAACAACTCGCATCAGCTTTACAGAAATCGGGCACTTTCTACCTAAGCAGGATGGGACAAACTCAGTTAAAAGAGTCCCAGGCACTTCAGCTTTTGCAGGCTCTCTACTTCTGTGGCCATGCCTTGGCTTTATCCAACAATCAAGGAGAGAAAAGGCAAAAAGTAAACGTAGCCTCAAATTGAAGAATCCTAAGGTTGAAAGGGGCCGCGATGGGTCTGCATTTGTGGCATGCTCATGGGTGACAATGTCTGGATTCTATGCTGCACAAAATGGTTATAAGGGAAAGAAAAATACATGGCTTTTTCTATTCTCCAAAAACCCTTGACATTCCACATAGTTGGAATGTCATTAAAGTTGAATTATTCCAAAAGCAGCAAGACATATGTCTTTGCTATTCATGTTCATATATTTGCTACAATCATTCAGATGATAAATATCTTTTCCTTGATTAGCAAAATCAGCAGCAAAATGCTCATGTGGTTTTCTGCTTGAAGAGTAGACTGTCCATATAGCAATTATTAAATATGTGAAATTATATTAAATCAACTTGAAGCTGATGTGTGAAATTCCTCAGAGAAAAATAAGCAATTGTAATAAACGTTTTCTAAGAATTCAAAGTCAAGTTGTAAAGTCAACCAGGAGTTTCCCATTACAAATCTTAAACTTGACTCAACGTGAACGTCCAATGAATCGCTTTTTAAAAAGTCGCTTATTTTCTTTCAAACTAAACACCTAACCGAGAAGTAAAAAATGACAAAATCTCATACAACTGAGAGAAGATTGGCACTGAAAGGAAGACCACACATAAGTAAGAATGTAAATGGTCAAATGTTTTCACTGCCAAATCTCTAAATGCTAAGAGAGTGATTTGCTATACAAGTCCAGTAAGTCAGAAAGAGGGGCATATTGCTAGTAACAGTCGTGTGGTTAAAAGTGGTCAAAGGCATAGGCATACTTAGTCGTATGACATAGTTAAAGGCAACTGGATAGGAGCTGTCATTAAATCCATCATGTGTGAAGGTTGGTATATAAAGACACGAAGCAACCCTCTAGACCACTGAAATCTGTTTCACACGCGCAGCCAAATATCATAAATATTCTTTTTTATCTTTTCCCACCATGAAAAGTTGAGAAAAAATGGGTGTCAACTTGAAAAGTTCTAACCTAGCTTTCTTCCTCAAAAAGCTTCAGAAGATAAAGTCCTAATGATCATGCCTTTTGGGGCTGGGTTAAGAAAGGGCTTTAGGGAAAGAAAGTAGGACCTTCCCCAAGTGAAAGAGGCTTCTGGTGAGAGAGCCAAACTGGGAAGCTTGTAGGACACCAGTGCTTCTCCTGCAAGGGGAAGCCACACAGCCAGCAGGCTATCTGCACCCCCAGAAGGATGCCCCGGTCTTTCATGGTTTTCTTGAAAACAGAACATCTGAGTCAACAGGTTTTCAGGATTGGAAATTCTGAGTGTTGCCTTAATTGTTTATACTGCTGCGGCAAACTTTTAAACAAAAATGCTGGGAGTCCCTGCACATACTTTACTGGCCATATGCTCTACCAAACAAAACAATGGCATTCCTTTCAAATGGAGTTGGCAAAGGATACAGTTCTTTAGCCTGGCATTACCATGAAAGTAACACGGTATTAACACATCTGTGTGCCTGACGTGCATGGGCTTGCAGGCATGCAAAGGATCTGTGTCACTTAACTATAAAAATAGCCTGGCTCCAAGTCCATGGGCCCATACTTTTGACAGGTATTGCTATTCAGCAACAGGTTAGTGTGGTCCTGGGCCAACGATTAGAACCTATTTATTAAAGTTCTTCCTCTTAAGGATTGAGTGAGTTCAGCATAGTATCTGAGAGTACTTTGTCAAGGTTGCGTTCCTTGGCAGAGAGCTCTTAGTAACTTTAGAAAGAACAAAACTGGTTGTTTTCTTTTTTTTTTTTTCTTTTTTTTTTTCCTTTCAGAGAGCAAAAGTCAGTGTCCCAAAAGTAACTGCTGGTTCAGTGACAACCGTCCCCCAAAGTAGCTCTTCCCTGTCTTGAATGTGGTGCCTGTGCACTTATAGACAGTTTCTAAAGGTAAAAATGACTGTCACTCATAAATATGCCCTGCTTCTCTAATGTGGCCCCAGATTGGACTTTTAAAGGGGAAGGTTTGTTTTAAGAGAGTGACTTCATCTGTGCCATTCCACTCCAATCCTGGCACAATCACCCCTCTACCCTCAATAAAAACTTGGATGGGGTCCGGAAGCCTCCTCTGCTCCCCAAGCACCCGAAAATGCCGCGGCTTTCATCCGGCTGCTCAGATCTGGTTTCACAGGCAGGGCAAGGCAGCCCCTCACAGCCTGCCTTCCAGCTCAACATTGGCCCCGAGCTTCCTCTCTGTGTGACCGGCTGAGTTTAGCAAGTGTAAGCCAGTCATCTCCAGGCAGAGCTCGACCGAGAATTCCTTTTCTGTAAAGTCCTCTCCCCCTCCCCTGCCTGCCCTCCGTCCGCTAGTCCGCTACCATCACCTAATAACTAATAACCTTCCCAGGCAGTTTCCAGCTGGAGGGAAAAGAAGTTCCTCCTGGGACTGTCAAAGAAATATATTTTACCCTCCTACCCCCCACCCCTCCCCACCCCCTGCCAATGCCAGCACCAACCTGACTCGGCAAACGTGATGATCTCCGAGGTCTGCTCCATAAGTTCATTCATTTCTGCTCTCCTTCCAATGTCATCCTCTATCTCCACATACCCGTTCTCCCCGACTTTGCCCACATGAAGCTTTCTGATCGCGTTCAGAAGCGCCGCCTTGGGCACCGGCTGGGTGACATCGGGTCTCTTCTTCAAGTGCAGCATGTTTAAAATGTGCTTCTTGACGGCCTCCACCATCTCTGGCTGAGAGTTGGGTACATCCTTTGGGAGGGCGGCCAGCGCACAGGACGGACAGTCGGGGGCCGCGCTGTGCCCCTCGGATCCTGGGGTGGGGGAACTCCTCACTATAATCCAGCAACTTGCCAACAGAAATCCTCTCAGCCAAAGCAAGGGCATCCTGGCAGCAAAAGTTGTTGTGATTGCCTTTTTAAAAGGCCCTGCTTTTCCTCCCCCCTCACGCACAGGTTTTTTTTTCTTTTCTTTTTTTTTTTTTTTTTTTTGGTTTTTTTTTTTTTTTTTTTTTTTTTTTTTTTTTTTTCCTTCTCCTCTTCAGCAAATTCTCTGGAACAAGAACAAAAAGTTTTCTGTGAAGTTTTGTTTGCAGGTTCCTCTCTGAATGCAGTCAGTGCTGTAGGTTTGTGGCTGTCAGGGAGGAGAGTTCTGACTGTCTCCGAGTAAGAGAGAAGGAAGGAGGGAGGGAGGGAGGGAGACAGGGAGGGAGGGAGAGAGAGACAGGGAGAGAGGAGAGAGGGGGAGAGAAGAGAGAGAAAGAAGGGGGAGAGAGAGGGAGAGAGGGAGGGAAGGGAGGGGGAGAGGGAGAAAGGGAAAGGAAGAGAGAGAGAGAGAGAGAGAGAGAGAGAGAGAGAGAACGGATTGGCCCTAAGTAAGTGAGTGAATGGAGAGGGAGGGAGTTTGCTGTGAGTAGGGCTGTGATTAGGGAGGGAGGGACAGCCCGTTTTCTGACAGGCTGCTCTCCTTCTGCTCTTAGCTTCCTCACAGACACCTCTCTTCAAATATCACCAATTTCGGGGGTTCTACTTTCTCTTCTAAAATAAATTCTCCTAATTTTGTTCACTATTTTTTTTTTCTTTCTCTGCCCAGTCTCCTGGTTTCACCTTCTTCCTTTTTTGGAGGGGAGCAAAGAAACCCCAAACAAACACAATGTCTCAATCAACAGGGATGACTTGATTGAAAAAGTCTGTTCCCACCGCTCCTCCACCCTGCTAAGCCACAGCCCTAGGTGGTAAAATGCCCTCCTGACCAGGGAAGTCCAGTGGACAGGTAGTGGAGGTCAGGGAAGAGTAGCTCAGGGGTAACAGAGGGTGCCCGGGCCAGTGGATTGTTCTGGTCTGATGGGATCCAGGGAGATGGTCGTTTTCCCCCATTCATTCATATTTAAATGTTCAGGTCATCAACACTGGCAGGCGATCTGAGGAGAGCGCAATGGAACTTTTGTTTGGGGTCATCTAATACACTCCACTCTTCCCAACTGTGAAATGCAGCAGGGCACTGAGGGACCAGAGGGCAGGCAGCCTGTCACAAGCCCAAGTCCCAGAAGCGCTCTCCCCGTCGCCTTCAGCTGCCCCCTTCTGCCGGGGATCCACTCACTCTCACACATTACAGCCTACCACCGCTCGCGGGACTTCACAGATAAAATGCAAAATTCTCTTGGCCTTTCCCACATCCTTTTATAAAAAGAGTGCACTCGTATGACTTGAATAACTGATCCTATGGGAAAAGACTCTCTAAAATATATTGGCAAATTATTTTTCTCTGTCATGTGGTAGTTTTTTCAGCTTGCCCCAAGCCTGTCCCGACCAGTGCATTCATAGACAGCCTCCTTGACTGCTTCTTGTTCCCTCAAAGGAACAGTGCAGATAAAATCGTCATGGATTTTAGTGTGCACAGAAAAAGAAAAATGTGAATTTTTTAACAATGCCTTTCTAAGGCTTAAAAAAAATTCTTCCCCCTCCCCTTTTTTCATTTTCTGTCTTATTGCTTTTATCTTGCAGAAGAATCTTTAAGGGGTCCATCTGTTAAAGCGTTCCTTCCCTCTCGGTTTCTTTCCCACACATAAGCCCTCTTGGTTTCTGAAGATACACTCAGCTTATATCTGACACCTAGTGTGTTCATAGCATTATAGTCAAGCAATGCAGTTTAGGTGGAAAGAGTTAATAAATATCATTACTACAAGCATAAGATCTGAGTGCAAGGGGAAGAGGGCAAGAAAATTGTGACACTAAGTTAAAATTACAGTTTGCACAGGTTAACAATGCTCTCTGAATTGTATATACTGTCTCCTTTTCCAAAACAACTATTTGTAAGACTTTTTCTGTTACAAGTAACCTAACACCTTTGGGGTTTCAGCTCCAGAAACATCAATTACTCCACCATTATTGTTGAAACTTTGTCAACATTGCCTAAAAAGCCTCATATTTTTTACGGGGATGGTGAAAGAGAATGGGGGAGGCAGGGGACATTTGTGTTATAATGGTTTTATAAAACATCTTTGTACTATAATACTTAACATCATCCACCTATTTGGAGTCACATATACAGTATCCAAAACATTTTGTAGTCCAATTAAGTTTTACAAGAAAGTCTGAAATACAACCAAAAGTTTAATGACTCTAAACAACTCAAGAGTCCTAATAGCAGCATTTAGATAACTGCAAGTTATCAATATTTGGATTCTCTCTGCATCTGAGTACGTGTGTGTTCCCTGAATTTACTGTTTGCGAATGTAACTCTTAAAAATAGCTTTCTCTTTGGCATATGTACTTGTATATATGTGCTGAGTGGGTTGTATAAACATATAATCTATTTGCATGCTCTAGGACTATTAAAAGCTATATTAACCTGCCTGAATAATATAAAAAGGTACACATCACAATGCACATTGGAAATGTCAATTAGTTGTAAAATTCCTCCTAGCTATCCTATCTTTGAATGTGTAAAGAGCTCAGAAGTAAGAGTTAAAAAGCATTACCTTTCTGGTCCCCACTCTTCCACCAGCCGGCTCTTGTATCATGTGGTAAGAGCTGTCTGAGCTCCTCTTCATGGTATTGGCACTGTGAAGTTTTATACTGTACTACTTATTTGTACACCACACATTGGTACCACTGAAACAGAGGAGGGCTGGGGCTTTGTTTGGGATTGGTTGGAATCAGCATGACATCAGCAGATGACTGGTTTTTCCAGTGTGAGACATTTCATAATTCATTATCTAATGGAAAGCCCTTCCTGGCTTCTGAGACACTACTGGGTGATGCACTGAGCCAGTGAAACCTCTGGCTAGGATTACTCTACCTTTTGGAAAAATATTGGAATCAAATAGATATGTCTCAATGAGTGTGTCCAACTTTCAACTTTTCTTTTACTACTCGCACACACGTCTCGTTATATTCAGGTTCAGTTTTATGTCTTTACATAAAACATCTGTTACTTCATGAAGTTGCTTCTATTTACAAAGTATTTTATTGTTTCTTTCAGGAAAGAAAATTGGTAGTGTTCTTTATATGGATTCTAATTTTATTTTTTTTAAATAAGCTATTTCATTGAGGAAAAAATTGGGAAAATCTGTATAATCATATGATGATGGTCTCCCCCCACCGCAACCAACTTACACTATTATTTTACATCTTGAAATTGAATGCCTGCTTCATAAATCAAGAACTTTGGAAATAGTCATTCTCTTTAAGTGAACTTCATAAGTATCCTTCCCAGGTCTTTAGAATCCATCCTAACTAACCAAACACACACACACAACAACAACAACAACAACAACAACAACAACAAAAATCCTCATGCATCATTCTTTTTTACCAGAACTTCAACTCCTATAATTTCTAAATTGTTACAAATATAACAGGAGATTAATGAAAAGAAGTGAACACTCCTTGAAACAGGGGTAAAGCCGGTCAGGCTTTTTGGGGGCGGGGAGAGGTGTTGGCAAGTCTGGTAAATAACACAGGAGGAAGAAGTCCTCTGACAAGAATGGTGAAGGGTTGTTTGAAGGAGTATAGTTGAAGCATAAGCCCAGTTCTCATGACAAGTTGGATAAAATGTGCAAAATTGGGAGCTAATGAGAGCCATATGACCAGATATGTTGTTTTGTATGCAGGATTTAACATGCATAAAATAAACTTTTCACTGTGCCCACAAGCAAAATATAGAGGCTCTGGCCTCCTGATGTGTGGCTTAAGCAGGTTCCATTAGGACACCAGAAGTTTTCTGTGTAAGAGGGTCTCTCTTGGCTAGATACAGAGAAAGTGTGGGTGCTGAGCTGCATGGGGGTGGGGGGAAGTAGTATTCTAAGAACTGCATATGCAGAAATGAAGTAGGAAAAAAATCATTAAGTTGTAGAGGAAGAGAGTGAATCTGAGTGGCAAAGACAGAAATAGGATTAATGATGGTGAACTCCAAACCTGCCCCTCAGTTTAGCACTAGGTGAACAGAAACCCTTTATAAGAAAGGAACTTCTCCACCCTTCATGCTGAGAATTAGTGGAGTCAATGACCTTCAGGGCATCTAAACTCACCTCTGCCGCACACATGAACTCTAGTGTCCTGATAACATCCCCTCCCCCCACACACAAAGTTGTGTGTGTGTGTGTGTGTGTGTGTGTAGGTGATGGGTGCGGTGGTGCACAAAACAAACCCAGATCAGATCCCAGTTCCTCTGCTCACTCACCGTGTAAACTCAGGCCTCAGTGTTCCCATCTATAAAATGGGATCCATAATATGAACCTGTGGGGGTCAAGGGCAGCCGTCAGATAATAATAAGTGATACTATTTCTGAGAAGCCTGGTGGCTCTTCTTAAACACGGGTGTCACAGAAATCTGCAGCACTCTGACCAGAGGAGCCACAACACAAGTGTGACTCTGAAACTCCGCTGGCCGTCTGATGCCACCGAGTGCCCACCTGCCAGACCAGCCTACCAGCCGCGCTGCAACCCCTCTGCAACCACCTGCACCACAGTGGCAATGCCTCCTCGCTCGGTGCAAATCAAGGTGGGGGTGGTGGAGGAAGCAGGCAGGTTAAAATAGCTTCTGTGGAATATTCTAGACTGGGAATCAGCTTTTCCCTGCGGAACTCAAGGGCCCGGGGCACAAGCTGGTCAGCCCAGTCCTGACCAGAATCTCCTTCTCCTTCCTTGGTTTGGTTTCTCTTTCACTTCCCCCTCCCCCGGAGCTTCCCCGCACCCCAGGCCCTTCGGGTCCCGGCTTCTCGGCCCTGCTACTGTACCTTGAGCAGCACCTGCTGGCAGCTTCCAGGGATCACGCCGGAACGCGGCCGCTGCTCGAGCCCAGCTCGCGGGATGCCTGGAGCCAGGGCCAAGCCGGTCTAAGCGGCAGCCTCTATTTTTACCCTGAGCACCAGCAAGGGCAACTTCTTTTAAGAGCAGCTCTTGATTTTTTCCCCCCTTTTGGCAGCTAAAGAATTCAGGGAGGGGAAAAAAAAATTCACTGTTCAGTGAGTGCAGCTGGGAATCTCTGAACCCAGCCCTCACTGCCAGGGACTGAAACCACAGCAAATGTCAGGGAGCGGGACCTGCGGAGGGGCCGACTGGCTCCCCGCGGACAGAGGCGAGCAGGGAGCGCTCGCGCACCAGCTAACTGCCCCCTTCTGAGTGCAGAGCGCGGTCCTCCAGCGACTGCACTAGCAAAGTGGCCCGCTGCCACCGCGTTATTCACCTAGTGGAGGCGGCCTGATTTACTGGCGACTTCACAAACCCAACTCCACGCTGGAGCATTTGCATGGCTCTGTTCTCGCCTCGAGGAGCAGCCACTAGCGAACCCGGTGGAGCAGCTTGCTGCGAGAAGGAGCCGGGAGGGAAACTGTGGTACCTTATTTTACTGTAATTGCAAAAGGAACGATGTGCCAGAGATTTATATTTAGAAGTTGTATGTTTCTACTTTTATGTAAATGGAGCAATTAGGGCCTGTCTTGCTGCTGCTAACTCCAATGCGTGTGCATTGCTGGGGAGCTGGTGTTTTCAATCACAATTAGTGAGCTGGTCAAAAAACAAAGTTCGTTTAAGGATAAGAGCTCAATTGTGCGAATGGGGGAGAGGCCAGCGTTCGTGTGCCGGCCTGTGGCTTGCGGTGACACCTAGCTTAGGGCCATGGCCAACCCTATAGTGGTGTTTACCTGTGGCAGCAGCTGTCCCTGTTCAAAGTTGGCATAGATGAGGAAGCAAGAATGTTCACTTTTCTTCTCAAGCAAACCGTCTGTCCTTCAGCTTTCATCCACGCTATTAATTGGTGTCTTTCCTCACTACTCCTTGAGCAAGGAGACAGGCCCAGAAAAGCGGAGCGGGGGGGCGGGTGGGGACATTTTTCAGGGCTCTATTATTTTAGCTGCTGCTCACGGATTGCTGTTATTCAGTCAAAAATATAAGCCAGGAGACGTGAACACCCCAAGCAGGTGACTGGGATGTTGTTCTCTGATTCAACTGAAATGACACAAGGCTGGGGGTTCAGAGGCATGGACAAGAGTGCTGACGAGTCCGGGTGTTTTCATTCCTTCCTATGAAAAAATCTGTTTCCAAAAACGCATGAGTTCTGGTTCATCCTGTCTGGGAAACCAAACATAAAACGTGACTATGGAGAGAAATCAAAAGGTGTTCCCAGCAGCTAATGTGTTATTCTGGGGCTCAGGCCGGAAAACCTGGCCTTGTTGGTGAGGGGTGACTCCCTCAAGAGGCAGCTCAGAATCCAGAGAATGTGGGCAGGATCCAGAGTACTATCTGCTGCAGGGAGACTGCGAGAGTCTGTGATGAAGAAGGGTCTCATCAAATGGTTGACATTGAACATGGGATTGGCAAACGGCCTGTTTCCTGGACAGCCACAGCCTGTACATAACTTGGGCTGAATGTTAGGTAGAAAGAGTTGGGACAAAGGAGAAGCAGTGTTTCATATTCAAAATTGAACTGGGAAGCTGTTTTGCTTTCAAGTTAAGTCAATGAATGAATAGCTCTAAACAGAGAGAGAGAGGGAAACATTAAAAAGTCCCCTGAAATTCATTGAGAACAACAGGGTCAGAAATGGTTAATCTGAAACTTGACTCCTGAGCTTCACATTTCTTTCAGAACCACTGGAATATCCCACAAGGCCTTCTGCTTCGTGGGATATTCCACAAAAACAGTGGGATACTCTGTTTTTAGAGTATTTGGAAATGCTGTTTTCTGAAGCAAGGGAACCCGGATACTAGAACTAAAACAACTGCGGAAAAGAGAAGAAGGAAAAAAACCCAGTAAGTAACCTATTACTCTTCATTCTACAGCAGTGGTTCTCAACTGGGGATATTTTGCTCCCTGGGGGACATCTGGCCATGTTTGAAGACATTTTGGTTGTTACAGCTGGGAGGGAGGTTCTACTGATCATTAGTGGGTAGGGGCCAGGGATGCTGCTGAATATCCTACCATGCACAGGACAGCCCCCAACAACAAGAAATTATCTGGCCTACAGTGTTAATTGTTCTGCAGTTGAGATACCCTGATTTCATGTTATAATTGTAAAGTTCACCCAACCTTCTCCCTATCCATCTCCAAGAGGCCTTGGGAACCAAGAAAAACATTGCAACTCTACAAAATACTAATAATTCAAGTGATTCTGCTGCCTCTTGCATCTTATGTTCTCTGATTACTGGAGACTACAGATACAATGCTCCTCTTGGGCAACATTGTTGCTCCAACCAACTTTCATGTATGGCCTCAATACATTTTCCTGCTGGCTTTTTGTTCTAAACCAAAGCAGAATCTTGGTGGCCAGCAACAAAATGAGATGGGCTGGCCTACACCCAAGTTGTTAGGAGACAAGAGACTCATGCAAAAGAATAAATGAATAAAGGATTGAGTTGTTCATTTTAGCAATTCAGTATCAGATAAATCCATGCAAGAGAGAATTCCCTGAAGTAAAATTCACAAAAGTAAGATTACCCTGCCTTTCTCCTAGAGCAAACGAATATGTTGTAGCTTGATTTTATTTGTTTAATACCTTAGGGGAATGACATACAATCAATATCCAAAGAGATAAAACAGTGTTTTGCTAAATCCTAATGGCTGTTGCAGGCAACATTATATTCTCCAAACTTCCTTTGTAAAAGGAAGTGGTGTGGCTGTTGAAGGAAGGCCATGCCCTTCCAGCCCTTCCAGGTGTTGCTCTCCTGTGAGGACTGGGGAAACTACTGTGAAGGATTCCACCTCATGGAAAATCATAAGAGTAATCAACAAGTATTGGTGAAATGCACAAAAAGGAAGTTGCCTGGATGAAACTAGCTTAGAACTGAAATCCTGTTGTCCAGACAGTGAGGGCTTACTTCCCCGGTTCATTACTTACCTCCTGAGTGACTTGGGTCCTCCAGAAAGGAAAGGGTAGGTCAGAGATCATTTTAAGATGAAGGGAGCTATGAGGGGAATGTCTTAGACACTCTGACGCCGTGTCATCTCTTCCAACTTGTGAATCACCGTCTCCTCAGGTAAATGGTCATTTTGGAACCAAAGGCCTCAATCAACTTTCAAATGATTCAGAAATGCCTGGAGTTCTTCCCAAGAAGTAACCAAGTGGTACATGTAAAAAAATTCAATATTGAGAGAAATACTCGTTTACAACTACTATAGAAAAACATACATTGAAGAAAACCCAGACTAACTCAACCTGAAGAAATATGCCCTCAACATTCTTCCTGACCAATATATATTTCAAAATTGTTTATCATGACTCAGTTCTAACCCAATCAGGAAACATCTGCTTCAACAATTTATCTTCCTATTGCCCCAGAAGATTGTTGAAAAATACTCCCCAAGGAACACGGAACAGATTGTTGTAATCATTTTTCTCACCTGGATCCCCTTGGGTAATAAGTTCCATTGCTGACTTGAAGACATGGTGGTTTAGCACATAGATTCCATTGGACTGATAAGAGGGCAGCAATCTTGCTTTGCATCCAGTTTTGCCTGTCCACAAAGATCCCCCCACAGCCTGTTCCCAAATCGCTGCTTGGAGGGAAAAAGCCCCACAGAAAAGCCTGGGGGCAGTCCTGTGTGAATTTTTTTTTAAATCAGTGAATTGCTGCCTCCCTCGTGTCCTAATAGAGTCCAAAGGTTCTGCCCTCTGTGGGAGCAGCTCCAAGGCATGGTCTGAGTGCCGCTGTTCACGAGTCCTGCGGGCTCGCGTGGACACTGGCAGCAGCTCAGCTAGGTGAGCAAATATTTCCAGGTGGCCCACTCTAATTTTAGGAAGGTCAAGTTTGCAAAGGTGAAATAGTAAGTAGGACTTCTGCACTTTATCAGATTGGAAAAGCAAACTGTAATTAAGCACAATATTCTTAGAGTTTAAAATGGAATCACTGAATTCTACAACCAGCTTTAAACTCTCAAAAAATAACTTATGGCTACAATCCCTCTTCTACTCATTGAGTTCCTCTTAAAAGATGGAAGAGTGTAATGAATGAGGGAGGAGCCTCTATAGTAGAAGGAAAAAAACACTCCAGAAAACCTCTCTCCCAAAGGCCAGGGGTTCATTTGTGATCCCTTAATGAAACAGGGGCAGAAAGCCAACAAGGTAATTTTGGCCAACTCCAACATCACTTAACTATGAGCTGAGAATAATTAAAATGGTGCTCCCTGTAGAAAAGAGTTCACCCAATAAGTTTCCCAAATTTCAAGGAGCTTTTGTTTTATTAGATGCTGTTAGCTTCATGTTAGTCACAGGAAAAAAAAAAAATGCCCACATACACACGCACAACTAAATGTAGTCAGTTTGCTCAGCTGCTGCTGACGTCACTGCTGCCCACTAGGAGTGAGTTACTGTCATAACCCCTCTTTTATTAATCATAGGCTGGAGGAAGCACAAAGTGGGTGACATCATTAGGCAAAGGACCGGCTAACTCATGCTCCAATTTACTCAGCTTTATTATAACATTTCTCGAGTGTCATATGAAAGTGATTACCATTTCACACTTTCCCCATCTGAGCAATCATCCCTAACCTTCAATTCGAATTCCCAGAGAGAAGCTTAGCTTTTCAGATGGAGGTGCATAAAGGCCAAATCTCACCAAGGGTCCTTGTCCCAAGAAGAAATGTCCTCCTCAGAACGCCTTCTTCCTGGGCTTGAAACAGAGGCAGTTTCTAGAACTGTAGGAAACTAAATAATTCTCCATTGTCTCCGGCCCTGGCAGTGGCCTCTGAGTGGGGAAGACCCTGATGGTCCAGACGGGTGCAGCAAGTATGGCCTCCCGGTGACCAAGGGCACAGGCACCTCAGTGCTCTGAAGTATGAAAAATACCATTTGAAGTTGAGGTAAAAGGTAGTGGTTGAATGTATGGGTCCTACAGTCAGACTGCCTGGGTTCAAATTTAGGATTCACCATTTTCAAACTGCTGGGCAAATGACTTGGTTCCCCGATTAGTATAATAAATATGGATAAGAATAGCACCCCCTTCGTAGATAGGATTGTTGTCAGGGATAGCTCAGTTAATTTTGTGAGCCACATAGAATGTGCTAGTACGTAGTCACCGTTGCTTACTGGTATTATTTCTCTTCCTTTTTTAAAAAAGCTTTATTGGCTGACCTGAACTCCCTGCATTCTACTTTGTAGAGCCTTGGAAAGATGGGCAAATGCTCTGTGACAAGCCACCAGGGCAGACTGGTACTGGGAAGACCCTACTATACATTTGGCTCTGTCCCTGGCTGGAAAGTTACAAGTCAGTCTACCTCTCTGTGGTCCAGTTTCCACACCTACTACTCTTTATCCCATGAGGAACTTCTGGAAACTAAAAAAGGTACGTAATCAAAACCAAAAGAAGACATTGGTTCAAGGATCCTCCAGAGCTCAGCATTGTGTTTCTGTTGTTTCTTTTTGAACAGACAAAATTCTCGGAGTGTTCAGTAGCTACACACACACACACACACACACACACACCCCACACACACAAAAGTAGCATCTCCACAATGTTGCATGCATCAGGAAAAGCAAATGTTTTTACCACAGGCTGGGCTATGCTTCATCCTCTTAAATTAGCATCTTGAGGTCTTTGCAGAAGCCATTTTATAGATGCCTACATCTCATCCTGAGGGTATTTTAAGGAGTCAAAATAAAGTTTACTTAAGCGTGTGTGAGAGACAGAATGATAGACCAAAAGAGAAGGCTGGGGCTTTGTAATATTTAGATAATGATGAAACTGAAACGGCTGATGCAGAGTGCAGTAATTATATAGGATACTTTATTATTTGGGTTCACCTTTGCTCAGTAGTGAATTATAAGCACTCTACTAGGTGAGAGGTTTGGCTTCCAAAATGAACAGCTGGTGCAGGATGGAACTACCAGAGCATGTCACATGGCAAATAAAATAATAATACATAGAAACTTCAGGATCTCCTAATTGGAAGCTTCCTTTAGACAACAAAAGATGCCAGGATATTTGCTGCCCCCTAACTGGTACCATGACGAAGAGCACATAACTTTTTAAGAAGCAAACTCTGATTCAGATACAGTTAGTTGGCGGCTGAGTCAACCTCCTAAGTTATAGTTGTGAATTTGGCCACTTCCGTAAACCTGTTTGTTGCGATTAAGGCAAAGCTATTGGGTAGAGTCCTGTTCTGTTTCTGTCTTTTCCTGATGGAGAGGCACCCCTGATTTGCAGCAGCTGCCCAGGTAGAACAGGTTGACCAAAGCACACATCACCAACACAGACTGTTAATCACGTGACTAGATAAAACTCTCACAGTGTCATTCAAATTTCCATATCCTTCTTCTATGGAAATTTCTGAGAGACCCAGAAAAGGAGCGTAACCATGAGGGAAAGTGAATCCTGCACACTTGAATATTCCAGACTTACCAGGTGATCCAGCTGTCCATCAGTGGGAAGAGGCTGAGGCGCCCCCTTCTGGTGCATCTGAATAGGAATAAACTCTGGGTAGAAAGAAATCCTGTAGCAACTGGGTACCTTCTCTGTGATTTGTCCACTTCCAATATCAAAATTGTTGCTTTTTAAATGACATCCACCCTAAGTTAAAAAAAAAAACATATTATTTGTATAAAATGTGGAAGACACAGAACAAAAAATGTAAATCACATATCATCATCCCTCCCAGAAATAATCATTATTAAAATTTCTGTGCGTGTGTAAAACAAAATTGCAATCCTACTGTAATATTGTCCTGTATACTGATATTTTTCACCTATCAATGTATGTTGAGCAGTTTCAATGGTCAAATTATTTCTTGAAAATATTAATGACTGGGGAGTAACCTTTCAAATAGGTGTGTCTTTATTTTTAAACCAGTCCACAATTATTGCATATTGAAATCATTTCCCAAATTTTGTAAGTGTAAGTATTGCATCCATCCTTTTATGTGTTTAAATACATCTCTTATTATTTCCTTGAGATGAGTACCTAGAAGTCGAATCACTGGATCTAAAAATGTGGACATATTTGTGCTGGACGCTGTGGGTCATGCCTGTAATCCCAGCACTTTGGGAGACCAAAGCAGGTGGATCACGTGAGGTCAGGAATTCGAGACCAGCCTAGCCAACATAGTGAAACCCCATCTCTACTAAAATTACAAAAATTAGCCAGGTGTGGTGGCACACGCCTGTAATCCCAGCTGCTCAGGAGGCTGAGGCATGAGAATCACTTGAACCCAGGAGGCAGAGGTTGAAGAGAGCCGAGATGGCACCCCTGCACTCCAGTCCTGTCTCTTATACACATCTAGATGTGTATAAGAGACAGGCTCCAGCCTGGGCAACAGAGACTTCCTCTCAAAATAAATAAATAAATAAATAAATAAATAAATAAATAAATAAATAAATAAAGTTAAATATGATAAATAAAAAATAAAAATGTGGACATATTTAAGATCTTTATATATATAACCAGCTGCCCTCCTGAAAGTTTTTGCCTGTTACATTCCAACCAATAGTGTAAGGGCATGACTCTTTCCCTGTGTTTTGGGATGGATGTTATTATCAAAGTTCTCTCCCACCCAGGCCAAATACGGTATATGCTTTGTTTTAATTTGAATTTTTAAATTATTATTTTAAATGGACATTTTGTTGTCCATTTGAACAACTTTCTTTTGAGTCACTGTTCATGTTCTTTGCCCATTGTTTCTTTTATTAATAAGAACCCTATTCTCATTCTTATATTTTAAATAAAATTTCATTGTATATGTTTATATTATCTATAGTAAAGTATATTTTATTATTAATGAGAACTCTTTTTATATTAAGACTCCTACCCTACTGTCTGCTACATATTATTGTAATTTTTCCCCTGTTAGTTCCTGGCTCTTTAATTTTGTTTGTATTAATAGTGTTTCAGGCCAAAAGAGAGTTTACATTTTTATATGAACTCATCTAGGAATTGCTATCTTTTTGCTAAGGCTTCTCCATCAGGAAATCAAATTGATACTCACATATATTTTTCACTAAACATTTTTTGAAACTTTATTCTTTAATCCAACATATCTGGAATATATTTTGGCATACAGAACAAGGAAGAGCTATGACATTTTAGAAATTTTTCCAAAGATTGAATGAGCACCGTTTACGAACTTTTCACTTTGGAACGCCATTTTCATCACCTGTTGAATGTGTATAAATATGAACACTAATTTCATTCAATTGATCTGTAGTGTGTTGCTAAGCTTGTGATCCCGTTCCATTCGTATCGTTTCCCAGTTTTAATGTTGTTCTTTTAACTCTAGTTCTGTCCTATCCCAGGTCTTTTTATGTATGTGACTCAAGTCCACAACCCAACAGTTATCTTGATTAAAATATAATTTCTTAATGCCTGGGCTTTATAACAACTGTAGATAATTCTAGGTTTTTCTCTACCTGTAGTTACTCAAAGTTTGTCATTTAATGGTAGCATATTATCGAACAGTGTGTTTGTTTGTTGAGACTGTGTCTCACTCTGTCGCCCAGGCTGGAGTGAAGTGGCGTGATCTCGGTTCACTGCAACCTCCATCTCCTGGGTTCAAGCATTTCTCGTGCCTCAGCCTCCTGAGTAGCTGGGACTATAGGTATGCACCACCACACCTGGCTAACTTTTTGTATTTTTAGTAGAGATGGATTTTCACCATTTTGCCTGGGCTGGTCTCGAACTCAGACAATCCGCCTGCCTTTGTTTCCTGAAGTGCTAGGATTACAGGCATGAGCCACCGTGCCTGGCCTTAAACAGTGTTTTTAATTAAAAAAGCTTCTTCATAATTCTAAAAATAATAGGTATTCATTTTTCAAATACAAACACCATCGAGGAAAAAAGAAAGGAAGGAAGAAAGAGAAAGAGGAGGGAGGTTAAGAGGAAACAAAGAAAGGGAGAGAAGGAGGAAGGAAAAAGAGGGAGGAGGGACAGAGGGCTCCTACAATTTAATCATCCAAAGAAAACCAGAAACAAAATTATGGTTTATGTCTTTCCAGAAATGGAAAGATCTTTCCTCATTTCAGGAACATTTTCTTCTATTGCATTTTTGACAAGTGTTTTTGTTTGTTTCTAAAATTTTCTTGAATGTGTAAATTGTTGATTTAAAGATTTAGTTTTTGAGCGTGCTCTTTAGCTTTCTTTGCTCTTTGTTTCATTTCGTCTTGTTAGTTGAGGAATTTATGCATAAGCCCTATGTTGCTGTTTATTCTTTTTCTGTTAACTCATTTTTGAATGGAATAAGACAGCAGGTCTACTGTTTGCCCTAAAATAGCATAGATGTGTTCTCATCTATCCTCTTTTCTACTTCTCTCAACACCATCTACATCTTATCTAATGGTTGGGTGCTGATGGCCTCTGGGGCCTAGGACAAGAGCTGAGGTCATGGGTTGGAACTTTCTGTTGACCCTGCAGCCAGGTCCTGTCTTGCCAAGTTAGGAGCGTGTCCCTTCTGTTGGAGGAATATGCTTCAGGTCTCAACCTTTTCCCTAGTTTTGGAATGGACTGGGTTAGAAAGATGTTGGAGTTTGCAGCCTTTTTCTTCTGTACTGATGCATGCGTTTAATTCTTCATCGTGTCTCAAGCTTACAGCTCTCGCTCCTCATTTCCTTTTCTTACCTGTGACAAAGCCTCTGTTCCTCCATCCTTAGATGTAAGCTTATGCCACCATTAGCAAAACTTAGGGAGAGAAAACTAAAATCACCCATGCACTCCAGGCTTGGTAGATGCTCACACCTGACTCATTCTTTTGTTTTCGGGTCCTTCCCCCAACGACTGCCATAGCTGTGTGTTGGCTGGTTGCTTCCCGGTCCCTAGTTGGACCCTGCTTCTCTGCAGTCCCTTGCATACAGACTCTCTCTGTGAGACACATTCTCCTCCTCTTGGGCAGGACCTAAAACAGTCTCAGGCCTGCCTTCCTTCCCATGCAGACCCTATTAGGTCCACAGGAAACTCATGCATTTCTAGCCCACTATTGATAGGAATGTGGTTTCTTAATAAACATAGCCCCTTCCTCTTTTTATCCTTTACCTTGTCTTAGACCAATTTACACATTTATTCAGGCATGAGTTAGGCATCAGTGTGCAGGGTCCCTCAACTGCAGAAGGTGCTGTTGAAGCCTATGTTAGTTATCTTCCCTGGAGTTGAGGGAGATTAATTAACCCTGCCCTGTTGGGAGAGCTGGGACTCACACACAACTGGCAGGTGCTTCTTCTGAAGGCGTCTCCCAAAATTCACCCTCCCTCCACCAACCTGCCTTGCTCTCCACTCTCTTAAACTTTTATATTCTCAACATCTCCCCAGAGTCTTAAAATAATGGAACCTGTTCTCAGATACCTACTTTAAAGATTCCTTTGCAGTGGTCTCTATCCCCTTCACTCTGGTATCTGATAGCTATCTGGTATTTTGGCCCCTGGGTTAGAATTTCAATTTTAAAACATTATACTAGTTTTAAAACACTAAATGTTCGTCTTCTATTATTGCTTGAGTGAGAAATAAGCCTTTATTGATTTTGAGGCATCATCATTTTGGGATCTATTTCTTCTAGCAACCATTACCTTCAAGATAGAGAAGAGCAGAAGATGAGAATTTAAAGGCAGAGGCTTGGGAACCTTCATATTTACGAGGTGAGTGGAGGAAGAGGAGCCTGTGAGGAGCTTTGAGGAGTCAGATGTGTAGGAGAAAAACACGTAGGGAACATTGTCAAGGAAGTCAAGAAAAGTGAGAGTTTGAAAATGTCAGATGACACGATGTGGTCAAATAAGACACCGACAGAAAGGCCCAATAGATCTGGCAATATTCTAATCAGTGACAGTGCTAGCCTGAGCAGATCAGCTTTGTTACTTGGGGACAGATTTTAGTGGGAAGAGGAGGGGATGAGAAGACTAAGGAGATGTACTCTGTCAAACGTTGTGAAGAAGAAATTGAGTAATGACTAGAGAAGGAGACACTGAGGATTGAGAGAAAGCCCTTTCAAATTTTAAGATAGAGATTTAAGCTTCTCTTCTGAGAGAAGTGAGCTGCTAAAGGTAAATAACTTTACAATATGAGAGAAGACAGAGAAACAAATTTCCTCCTGAAGTAAGAAATGACGGATTGATTTCAAAATAGACACATGTTCACACCACTCCTTACCACCTCCATCACTGTCCCTCGGGCCAACCTGCCATTCTCATTGATCTAAATATACCACCACACCTGAATAATTGCAACAGCCTCCTAGCAAATCTCCCTATTCCCATCCTTGCCCCCGTAGACTATTGGGAATCCAACACTCAAAATGACCCTTTCAAAAATGCAAGGCAGATGAAGTCTCTCCTTTGCTCCTACCCTCCCGTGGCTTCTCCACTCACTCACTGTTGTGGCCAGAGAGAAGCTACGTGACCTGGCCACATCCCCGATCATGTCTTCTCTGTTTCTCCTTGGTCTCTGTCTTCTTCACATGTGATCCCCCTTGCTTTCCTTCCAACAGAATGAGCTTGTGCATGTCCCAAGCCTTTGTGCTTGACATCTTCTCTGCCAGGAATTTCATCATTTTCCATCAGACACCCACGCAGCTCACTCCCTGACTTTCTTGTTATTTGTTTCCAGATCACAGAAGCCTTTTTGGACCACTCAATATAAAACAGCAACGGACTCCACCCTGATACACCCTAACACCCAGCCTGTTTCATTTTTCTCTGTTATATTTATCACCATCTGAGGTATT